GGTACACTATTTATTTGAAAAATTTTAATGTCCTCCATTCTTCACTTCATTAGCAGAGGTGTGAGGGTGGTTATGGTCTGAGATATCCCATGCAAGCCATACAACACCCAACCTAATTTCCCAAAACGTCATGAAAAAAGAGATTTCGCGTTTAATTCGTTTTTCTCTGTAAGTAAGTTTAGTGCAATGTGGTTCAGCTCAAGTTGTCGAGCTCTACAAAGTAGTGTCCTGAAAGCTTAGGAAACTTTGATTCTGAAGTCCTATGTACGTCATAGTTCCTGAGGGTACGTCTATGACAGCGACGCTTGCTAGAATTATAACCAGGAGGCACCCGCTTCTATTGAACATAGTCAGTGATTTGTGGAGTAGATAAAATTTCCTGCATTTCAACTATGTAAGATTTCGGAGGGAGGAAGAAAAAAGACCCGGCTTCTATGCTCTTGGGCGATATCGGGGGCCTATGTATACATATGAAATCTCAGGTTCTATACAAACTGCAATCCTTCACAGTCAGTGATTGGCTGCTTTCATAGTCCTCCGGCCGGCCGGCCGGCCGGCGTGCCGGCGAAGGCAGTGCTAGGGAGGAGGGAGGCAGACAGATAGGCAGACAGTCCACGCCCCTTCGAGGGGCTGAAAACAAACAACCTTCGAACCAACTGTAACTTGTCTGGAACCTTGAAAAGCAAGAAGACGTATGCTCTTTGCGAAAACATGCTGCGCACCGGGTTTTGAACGATTACATAACTCTTCCTCATAAAGTCGAAGCAACAATTCGTGAGCCATAGAGAATTTTTTTGAAAGAATAGGTAGATTGACGCATGGCCAATCATCAATTTCGAAAAAGATTAGTATCGGAATGATCAGAAAAACCTGGGAAGTTCTGTGGTCTAATTTTCATCCAGTTTTCGAAATTCTTGGCTAGTCCATAACTCACTGACTTGGACCGATAGAAGCGAATGCCTTCCGGTTATAATTGTATCAAGCGTCGCTGTTGTAGACGCACCTTCAGAAGCATTGATAGACGTAGGACTTCAGAATCGAACTTTCCAAATTCTCAGAACTTTGTAGAAACCGACGACTGAGCTGAACCACATTGATACGATATAGAAGAAGTGAAAATAAACCGAGTTACAGAGAAAATGGAAAAAACGAAATGGTTTTCTCTGTCATTTTTTGAACAATTAGGGTGGGTATTGTACCAGCTGTACCAGCTACCCTACTCACCGTACGAACTCAAAAATTTCCGCAAATACCGCGAACTCGCGTCTTTTTCTTTTCTCTATGAACCGGATCAGAGTGGTGTACTTCGGAAGCTTGAGGCACCGTTGAACTCAGCTCGTCGAGTTCCATGTATAACCGGATAGCTCAAGAATGTTATTGTACACCTCATCATAGATCAGAATTTCTCTCTTAATATGGCCCCAACTTCGCTCTTCGTCACGCCCAAATAACAAAACGTTTCTCCCTTTCCATTGTACTTTTTGCAACTATATTGTACTAATGATAAATGTGTCGACCCGTAATGAAAACCTCCATATCTCTGAGCGGTTTCGTGCTGAGCGTGTTTTTGAGTATGGGGCCGGGTACTGCAGTGTCGAGAATGTGGGCAGTTTGAATGGGAGTTTCAGGGCGATCTCAAGGGTGGAGAGAAGGTGGGCGAGTTTAAAAAGATTATTTGAATGGGGAATAAGATTTGGAGGATACTGTAGTGTTAGGGGGCGCGAGGCTTGCATTCGGAAAGCAAGTGGGTCGTAGGAACAAAACGGACGCCCGAATTCTCGATAATGCGCTTACTTAACGTTTGTCTGAAACCTTCTTTAAACTCTTCAGAAAAGGTTTCTTACTTTCTGCAGCTCTTACCCCCTCCCCCTTCCCCATGGGAAATACCCTATTCAAATGAGCCCGCCTTAGCACCACCCTCCCTTCAGACCGCCCGAGACTCCCATTCCACTGCTCCACTTTCACCCACTACAGTGCCTCGTCTTCTGCAGATCTTACCCCCACTCGAATAATGTTTATATGATGAACCAACTCCCCTTCTCGCCACTTCAGTACCCCGCCACCTGCGGATCTAACCCGCCCCAAAATAATTATTGTTCAAAACGCCCAACTTCCCACCATTACAGTACCCACCGGCCTGCGTATCCAAGTCCCCATTCAAGTAATCATTATTCAAGACCGCTCTCAGGTCCTGCCAGTACGGAACCCCACCCCTGCGATTAAAAGTCCCCCAGAGCTACCATTTGAACCCCGCGCCACCACATTACCCGTCCACATACGTATCCAAACACGCCCAACAGGAAACCGCCCACCGACATGGATACCACAGAAAACAGTTGTCAAGGGAGATTTCCATTAGATAGCTATCCTTACGTGGAATCTAGTGGTGTACAATATGGTTGCAAAAAGTCCAATGGAAAGCGAAAACATATTCTGTGATTCGGGTGTGACGAGGAGCGAAGTTTGAGGCCATATCAAGATTGAAATTCTGTTCTATGATGAGGTGCACCATAATAGTCTTGAGCTTTCAGGTCATAGAACTCAACGGTGCTTCAAGCTTCTGAAGTACATCACTCCAAACCGATTTACGAAGAAAAGACGAAAAAGACGCAAGTTCGCGATATTCGCGTGAATTTTCGAGTTCTTTCGGCGAATAATGTATGTCTGAAAAATTTAGTACTTTTTCAGTTTATTCAAAAACTGTGGAAGAGCAGTGTTTACAGAAATGGTAGAATACAAGGAGGGGCATTCATTTACTAATGTGTAATGCATGTAAACTGACAAAAAGTTTTTGTTGAAGTGACATCATTCTGAGATAAACCCATGAATAAAGCATTCGAGGTATAGCAATTATACAGCGCAAAGCACAAATGTATTATATGATATTATGATATTGCACAGCACATATGTATTATACTTACAATACATAGTATCGCATTAGTATACTTCACTCATGCGACTATTCTCCTTCCCATTCCCCAGTATGGTTGTATCATCCTCCTCTGCTGTTCCCGTTAAATCCACATCGTTTTCGATCTCCCGTGACCTCCCCTTGGTGTGAGTGCCACGTTTCCTTTTCCTTCTCGGTTCTACCTCGTCCTCACTCTGTACAACACGTGTTCTCAGCGTGTTCAAATTGATGCGGAAGTCGCGCATTCCTATTGTGTTCTTCTGAAAAAAGGGAAATTAAACGGATGTATCACTCTATGACATATAAACACATCAACTGACAGGGCTCCTTCATTCTTTTATCACAATTCATAGTAGCCCCACAAGTATTCACCCATTGGCGACCGCGCCTTTTGAGAGTGTCTGGAGCGTAGGACCGAGCGCACTTTTCGCGCGCTGTTGCTGTGGCCCATCGGCGGCCGCACGGTCCCAGTAGCAACCTAATTTCTTACGCACCCATTATTTGATGTCAAGTTCCATTAATATGTCGAGGAAGAAGTGATAAGTCATCCACAAGTCGTTGTGGATGACCTATCACTTCGTGACTTTTTAATGGGAACTTTAACTCAAAGAATGGGTGGGCGAAACATCTTCCACTTTTACTTTGTTAAGCTCTACAGGAAGTGGGGGAACTGCTCAACTCATCACTGAACTTTCGTGGCTCGTGAGATGCAGATCCAACCAAATATCATAAAACCTTGTTCAGACATGAGGGATGAGTTTTGCTCTCAAACCTTTGGTGATTGGTTAAAGGCTTGCAAAACTCTTACTTTGAAGCGTTTTCGACAAGCCTCCCTTTCTGAAAACAATTAAGAAATTGGAATGGAAGTCTGAAATAGAGATAGAAAAGATATACTGGTTGCTACACGGAATATCTCAGGAAAAAGATCGCGCTTACAATTCATGCTAGAAGAGTCGCATTAAAATGTACGTGCCACAAAAACTTTGTTTTGATTGCTTCCTCAAACTACCACCTCCCCNCCCCCCCCCCCCCCCCCCCCCCCCCCCTGAAACACCCCCATACCCCAAAATATGTATGATTTGCCAATTGATAACGTTTGATTCTGCTCCTTTTGAAACTGCCCTTACATGATCTTTTGTTTTCTCTCATAACTATAATTGGAAAGGAGTGATTCTTGGACCATAACGCCCTAAGATTCTCCAGAAGGCTAGGAGCCTAGCTGATACTTAGAAGCGTCAAAAGTTAATAAAAAAATTTAATAAATAATGCAAATGATACCGCGGCCCGCCGCCGAGCCACGCGGTCGTCAGTTGGTTAAACCCATATTAGGTTGATGCATATTTTTTTTCCTCCGTGTTTGATCCTTCCTTATTTCGTTTGCATGAATGTTGGTATTTTGTCATCATGTTAGCGTGAAATGTGCATGACATTCCTCCATCACACTAGCTAACATTCGCCCAACCTGCATTTGCAGGTCACAATACCGCACATTCTCCACAAGTTCGACACATAGGATGAGGTCAGAGAGGCACTCGACGACTTCTTCAAGTCCCAGCCCGTTCTTCTCGAAGGGTGGAATGACAAGCTGCCTGAGGGTTGCCGGTGATGAAGCACACCTCTAATTCTCAGGCTGCTTCACTATTGAGATTTTTACAAAAAAAAGTAGAAGAAATTATGCGTCAACATAATACAACGAAATGTCAAGCAATAGTCCTGAGCGTGCTAGAGCTTAGAGCCTTGTGGTCTGTAAGCACCACCGTTCAACCCGTCCAACAAGCTTTACTTTGAACTGTAGTGTTTCTACTCTTCTCAAGGAATGCCACAAACTGCTGCAAAAATAACGACTGCGTTCCTACCTTTACTTGGAAATTTAGTCGGTCCTCATTCAATGCTTCCGAGATCAACAAAACTCGACTTTGAAGTGCCTCACGTGCTCGCACGTACTTCACGTAAATCACCTCGTCCTTACGTGTGCTGAAACAGATAACTCAGAAAATAATCTTTTTGAGTAAATGATAGGCATAAGTGACCTTTTCTTGCGAGATGCTTTGAATTCTTCAGGATTAAAAATGCCGACATGCTCATCGGCAATCGCCATGATCGCTTGCAGCTTAAAAATGGGTAATTCGCGGGAAATTAAAATAGGTGACTCATCGAAACCTACTCTCTCCTTGAGCAGCTCACTTAGAATAGTCAATGACTTCCATTCAACCATTTCAGGGACGTTCTTCACATTATTCCGCATCTGAAAAACTTCTCGTATTACTTTTTCATAATTAACTTTCAAGAAAAATGTGGGCAGGGGTACAATGACTGTACAAGGAAGGAATGGGAAACGATTCTACCGCCGAGATAATGAGGCGATGCCGCACATACCATGGCACGAGACGCACTGTACGGCAACAGCTTCCAGTCAGCAGAAATTTGGAAGCATCTCGGCTCTTCATGATTTCGGTAAACTTTCGTAGCTTTGAAACTTTTGCGACTTCTTCCAATTCCTCTCAATCGCGGCTGCCTCGTTTGATGTGCTTTCATGATTGGCAGAATGAGACCTAATTTTTATCACCTAGGGAACCTCGTGAATAATGACGACTGCAATCCGTGCGTGCTAAGAGAATTCATAAATAAAGCGATAAAGCCACTCGCGATCATCATAGGACCAATACTGCATTGCAATTGAAAGACTTGGGGGCTGAAAGGGATAGGCTTTGGCATTGATCAAACCCGTTTTTGGGACGCGCCTCCGTACTCGACTTCCGTTCAGGGTCGTAGTGGTGAATTGAATACGTGTGTGCCCTATACAATGAATTCGGTGATTAGCCGATGTACAAGTCAGTGCCATCATCCTTCCTAGCGAGTCTGGTACCAACTGACCGACCCCGGAGGGATGGAAGGTTGGTTAGCTTAGGCGGATCCGGGATTCCAACCTATGACCATGTATGTGTGTGATGGTGCGCCACTTGCCGCTACAGCACCTTCCTCCTCGCAATTACGTGCTCATCGAAAGTTAAGAAGAAACACTAAGTATGAAAATCATACGCACCATGTCTCCAGAATAAGCTTGCATATGAACAGATTTGGAAGAAACAAAACTTTGTAGTTCTGAAAGAAGAAACTCAGTGTTTCTCCAAAACTTGCTAGAATCGCGTCGTTGCATGCTCATGACGTCACGTGTAAATCTCAATCGCGATGGGTCGTGGATCGCGTGTGCGACAGGACCCCATTATCTTAACGTTAGAATCAAGAACGTGTTGACCGTAGAGCTTGCCGTCAAAATTGTTATCCTTGTTCTCCTATCTGTGTTAACGATGGCTAGAGAGAATTCTACATTTGATTCTATTTATTGTTTTCTTCTTCTTTTCTATCCATGTATTTACATTTCTATATTTTCTCCTTTGATGTTAAAAGAAAAGCAGAAAGGTAGACGTGGTCCATCTCGATGAACCTCTTCCGTTCACTTCGACGTTATCGATTACCACAGGGAATTACGGAGCCGTTCGACTATGTATTTGTCATGCAGAAAGGTTGCGGAGGTAGCGTGCTAGCGTTTTGATCCTTCTGAGCAGCTAATGAAAACAATCTTCAAAGATGATAGACCTGGTTGGTAAGTTCAGTTAAGTAGTTCTGAGCAATAGTTGCATCTTTACCCATGTCACTAAATGTCACGCACGCCCTAGTAACCAAGGGCACCCTGTTTTTCAATATTGAACACTATGAAATGCATTCAAAAAAGATAGCCCGGGCATAAATGAAGTTTTGGAATCCAAGAATCTGCATCTGCATTACATTCAAAAGAATAGACTCTTAAGAATTGTGAAGAGGTAGTGTAGCCACTAACCCAGTCGACCGGTTCCTGAATTGCGCTGAAGAGAGTGGTCAACGTTTGAACAAGCCTTTCCCGTTCGACAGCGAATTGTGAGTGAAGTGGCAGAAGTCTAGACGTTAGCTCACAGCAATGATCACATTTGTTCAATGCAGCCGCAAGTAGTTCATCCACTGTAGGTATCAAACAAGGTTTACAACAAAACAAAGAAGTATCTCAGAGTGCAAAAAGCTCAAATTCTAAATACAGAGAAAGTGTCAAAGATTTTGCTTGAACATACTCCTTTGATCTTTGGCTTGAAATGCTGCTGCAAATGTGATGACTGAATGTACGGCCACCAGCGATTTTTCAATATACAAAGTGAGAAAGTCACAGATAGTCGCTTGGGAAGCGTTCTCCACAAATTTGTACTTGCATTCATCACCCTGAATAAGCAGCTAATAATATTTAAACTTAGCAATACCACACTATTTGAGAGTATCGTCTGCTGCGACAAACAAAAGACACAAGTAGGCGAACCTCTTCACTCAAAACCTGCAAAAGATCGTCAGCAATTGTGTTCAAAGTTCTTTCCACTGTGTGGTCCGTATCCGTGCATTTCAGTGCCAATGAGCACAGAAATTTCAACAAATGGCGTAACGTGAGGCTATTAGCTGAACAAATTTAGCTGATTAATCTGGAGCGTCAATCAGGAACAGAACAATAAACTGAATAGAAAAGCTACAGACATAAAAAACCCGAGTCGACGAGGCACAGAGGGAGGAAAGCGTGCTAAAGCCCACTGCCATCCTTCGTCTGCTTTCATAAATAAATACGAGATCAAATAGAGATTCCAACACAACATTTCACACCGTACACCACTTACTAATCATTCAGTTTTTTTGAGTTTCATAGCTACCTTATGTGCGATTACGCTATGCCAAAGTTTGATATACTCGTGTCTCCTTTTAAAGTTAATGCTCAACAACCGGAAGAGTTCATCGATCGACCAATCGATTAACTCTTAGAGAGTCGATCGAGGGTCGACACCGACACCGCTTAACTTTCAGCTTTCATTAACACGTTGGCGACCGCAGCCTTTTTTGACCGCGCGCCGTGTGAGACCAAGCCATTTTTTTGCAACGTTCCTAACTCTCTTTTGGCGCACTTTTGCTCTCCACACTTCCGTTGGGCCCAAGCTACCCCCTCAGCGATATACTGTCCAGGAAGTTTAACCCATTGACGACCATGCAGTCCATATGTGGACTGCCGTTGTATTTGTTTTATTCATTTATATTTCCATTTCTTATTACATCAGGCCTAAATGAAACTACATACAGCTTGGTCCTAGAAAATCTTCTAATTTTGCAATTGTAAAGGTGTTTTTTCGAAGGGGTACATTACCTTTGTGAATTCTTCGTCCATTGAACAACCTCGAAAAATGAGATATTACTTCAAAAATGGGTCGTCATTAGCATTTTCGCTGTCATCGACCAAATGCAAAGCTCTAAAAGTTCCCCGAAGCGACTTCTGGTAACGATTGGACTCATAATTGAATGACCTCTAGAACGAACGCCGTTTCCATAGTAAGGATCAATAATCACTCAATGGGCATTCTTACCGATCCCATTTGAAGGAACATTCCGGAAAACTTATAATTTCTCTTATAAACATAAAAATGGTCATCCTAGACCATGAAGTCCGCATGTGGGCTGCAGTCGCGAGTGGACGAAAGGCGCGCCGGTCCCTCGCGGCGCTTTTCCCGCAAAACGTCATGGTCGTTAATGGGTTAATGCGTATGGCTGATTTATGACGGCACTTTTTTTGATTAAGGTCCGCAATGCACATAGCTAGTTGCTGATATGTCTTCTACTCTTAGATATTCAGGCGTTTTGAAACAGCAGTAGGAAATCTTAGCTTATACTCCACACACCTAGCAGACACTCAGTCTAACATGGTAGTTGTACGAGTTTTCTGTCCAGTTCACACCCACTTCTTGCCAAAGCCTCATAACTTTTTGTAGCAGTTTTCATTAAGCTTCGCTCACACCTTGTACGCACCGCTAATCTTAGGAATTGCGGTTCCCCTAAGGGCTTCCCTGAAACTGAGATTATCCGGCCGTCCTTGCACAGCCACATCTCAGTGTGCAAGTCGGCCGAGCCGTTTTCGAAATCCTTATGGTGCTACGTCAAGGTCGTTTTCGACTCGAAAGCGTCCCATGTGTTGTTTTTAGAGGCCGCCATGTTCTTTACGGAGAACATCCCAAAAATCATTTTTATTGCGATTGTGCCTTTAAGGGCCCAATTCACAATGAAAAAGATCTGATAACAGTCAGTACTTCGAGTGCGTTTGCTTCATGACTGCACTTGTTTACAATCCGTCGTCGGATTCCTTTGAGCAAAATCAAGACGAATCATCTTGTGTGAGTTGGATCTTGTGTTTTGTGCGCCCTCCTCATAACTTCTTTCTTAATCTTCCCGCTGTGTTTGATAGATCTCCAAACGGCCGTTTTCGACGCAAATAGATTCACGTCTGCGGGCATCTGGTTGATGTTGCTGGTGCTCTCCTCCATATTTCTCGTTTATCTCTGCTGAAAAATTGCGTTGGCGTCTCCGAGCATCTCTGTTGTCGTAGGCTCCAGTATCTGTTAGGTAGGAATAAAACATGCAAAGATTCCTGCCGATTTACCTGGCAATGCGTCGATTGCTGAGTCCGGCCTCGTGGAGAGCTCAAGTCTGGATCTTTTCTTCTGCAGAGAGATGGAGACCACGCGCCATCGCGAGAAGACATGTCGCTCTCAATTTTGATGCGGACCCATACCCTGGTTGAAACAGGAAAGTTCTCGTTGAGTCATATACCAGGGGTGGGTGATGGATGGAACGGTCAAAATTCAGAAGAATGATTTTTCTGAAAAAATGTTGTACACTGTTTTCTTGAGTCAAGAATCTGATAATGCGCGCTGCTAAATTGGGCCAGTTATTTTGAAAAAGGTTTTTCAAATGATGGGTGGACGTATACCACTGAAACGCACTGCACTATGACGTGGCTACATTGCATGTTTGTACCCGACCAAAATTATCGAAGCCTAATTGAAAGTTAATGCTGCAACTACCGTATCGATCTGACCTAACACCATCCGAACAGTACTTATTCGGTCGTTGCAGAACTCTTCCAATGGAAACACCTTTACCGAAGCTGAGGATATCTGATATACGAGAACAGGCACGAAATCAACAGAAGTATGACAAAAGATAATGGAACAAAATTAGATGTAAATATATCATTGACTAATCGCTTAACAGGTGAAAAAAATTATTAGCGAACTACTCGAAAATCGTAACCCTTTTCCAAAACTGATACTAAAATTTGACCGCTTCCCTTCGGAACTTCCAAACCTTTTTCAGATTATAAATTATTTTTTAACAAAGTTATGAATTTTTATAAGGAGCACAAATCATCTGAGAGTACGGTACGCTCATCCTAGAAGAGTTTCGGTGAGCTTACGCTCGTTGAGCCTTGCTAATCCGACAACTTTTTTCTAACCTCTAGCATTCGGTGTAGGTGAGTGTGAATTGATGTGGAAAGCACTACCCTTCTTGAGTACGCTTCATTTACAGAGAGTACCCGGTGTCTCGCTTTTCGAAAAAAGGTTTTGTCGTCGGCACCACCCACTCTGATGCTTGTCCCGCTCTATTCAGGCGAAGCTTCACTGAGCTCGTGATTGCTATATTCGTACTGACCTAAACTCCACAAATGCCAAACTTTTCTCGACCACCACTGGGGCTTCCTAAGGTAGAAATTATCGACAAACATACAAGCAAACCATCATATAAGCACACATGCAAAATTATCGACAGACATACAAGCAAACCATCATATAAGCACACATGCAAGAAACAGTCTAGTTATTGTCACCAATCGTCCACGGTTCCTTCACATCCCACGCCATCTACCGAGGTGTCAGTTTTACTGTTAACATGAAGTGAACAATTGTATCCTGTGACTTTTGCCTTTCAAGGCTGATTATCAGCTCCTTCAGATTGTTTTTACTTCCTTTTACGTACCATTATCTCCAATTCAGCCTCCTATTTTCCTTCTAAAGTTAAAGGCACAGTTCGCGATAATTCAAATGGGCAGGTATGTCAATGGCGTGTCCGCTTCTCATTCGATGTCACGTCAGACAGTCTGATCCAGACAAAATCAAATCCTATACGGACCAGCATTCTTCCAAGGAACAGGGTGCAACCAGTATTTCAAGATGCAAGCGTTATCAAATACTTGATACTATTTTCATGCAGAACACCTCTCGATTAATGCCCTCTGTTGAAGTATCCGGGCTTCTCCTAAAAAAATTGTGAACAGAATTGTAGCAACTGGGAAGAGGATTGAGCTGTCGAGCTCCGTCATAGGGAGAAAGGAAGCTCCGCGCCAACTAGAGCGTCCGACTGACGAATCTACACTGGTGCCGCAACTCACCCAAAGATTTCGCATATTAATATATCTAAGGAAGAATTATAGCTCACCAACGGTGTTCTTCTCCAACATTCCCATGGTGAATTTGAACATCGTTATAAAACACTTGGGATTGTCCATCATTCTCATCAATGTCGTACAAATCTGAACATGATACGGTCAGCAGCGAAGAGCTTCTGATGTTTTGCTCTCATATTTTCAATGAGAAAGTCTTTAGGGCTATGCATGTAATCGAATCTACCACATAAAAATTTCCTCTAAAGTTTATGGCTTATGTTTAACTTGTCAGCGCCGATCACTATTCGATATCGAACATTTTTCCAGAAATTGAGAGAGGTTCAATACTGAAACGCTTGATCAGAAAGATCGTGCTGAACGCCCTTCGTTTTCGTTTCATGCTGCCTGATTATCTGATGAAATAGTTATTGAGAATTTAGAGCCACTTCTGACAAAATTACAGCATGGTCGCTACACACTATACTGTTTCTCCTTTGACTTTAGAAGTTTCTTAAATACCAGTGCGACGGCCAGCTTTTCAAGTATATGGTGATCAATAATTCGTAGTCACCTTGAGCATGACTTTTGCCTGACGCTCCAGTTCCAGTCCAACACGTTTCTTCTGTTCGCCTTCTCCTCTATCCTTTCCCAATACAACCGGCAGAAGTCTTGCCATGAATAGATGGCAGTGCTTAACGAGACTTCCATTTGCTGTTAATGATTTTTCTCCACCTTTCGTTGACGAAAAGACAAGATCCATTCGCTTCCCTCAATTAATTCAGTGTAACATTAGATTTTTGAGCTGATTCTTGATCCAAATTTTGCCAAAAACGGTTGGACGAAAACTGTAGACAACCCACATATCGGAAGAATTCTCAGCGGCTGACAACGATATTTAGTTGCTAAATACTGGATTACATTGCTATATGCTTCCAATGCCTATAATACAAAACAATGATGATACGAGATTTCGAAATTCAGAGTATCAGATAGAGATCAATCGCACAACACAATACCAAACTTTGAAATTCGGCAATTCTGGCATTATGTAACACACTGTCGTAAACAACTTGTTGAGAAGAAAGAACGCTTCTCCGATCGACAATCAATTTTCAGCAAAGAGAAGGGTGAACCACTAATTCTTGAAATAGTCATTTCCTTACAGTGAAGCGGTTCTGTTGCAGGCACAGTTTGTGATAATTTTGTATGTCCTCATTGGCTTGAAAAGCGAAAGCCTTTATGCATGGCAGAGCTTCCGTAACAAAGAAAACGACAATACTCCCAATTCCCTTTATCTAATTGCCTCCTTGACTTGCTGATTTCTAGAGTCGCGATTATGATTGAGCAATATTGTGAAGGCGATAATACACTTTACCCAATACCGCTATGAGCGAAACAGCAAGGCATTGGAGAACCTTTGAGACCTGTCCTGGCTGGCCTTTTAGCCCATTATGCCCTACCTAGGCCGCTTTCGGAAGAAAGGACGCTCACTAGGAGACCTCTGGAACTATCTCTGTCGTGAAAACTTCGCAGTTTCAATTCATGTTTCTATGTATGAGAATAATCTAAGCGACGAAGAAAAGGCGACTTAGAGTCACGCTCAGCTCACGAGAGGAACAGAAGCCTGAAGCAATACGGGGCCAACATTGCCCCGAATAGTCGGAGCATCATAATGATTTCTTGACTTTTACCACGTTTTGGCAGTCACCTTCATTAGCATATCATTAACGCTTCCGCAGAGGACAGTATATGCGAATTCCCTTAGGTTATTATGAGAACAGGTGTTACTTGTGAGTTTGTGCCGTTCAAGATCCAAAATAATTCAAGCTAATGTCCAACTTTTCTACTCCATCAAATCCTATTGATCGCATTTGCTCGAGTTCATTGTAGTGCAGAAAAGGTCTCTGGCACTTTTTTGTATTTTATGCAAAAGCTGCTGAGTCTGCCGGCAATTAGGCAAAAGAATATGAAGTCAGATAAATCGGTGTAAGACTAATCATCAAAGCCTTAAAAAGTACTTGACAAATAAATACTATCATTCACTACAGCTAACCTTTGTCTTGCTGGGACAGCTGATTTCACGTGCGTCTATCCAACCTGCACAATTAGTTCCCGCATAGTAATCAAGAAGGTAACTGAAACAATGTCTTCCGACTGAGCCATCTCTCTCAAATACTCTACATGATAAGGAAATCTTTGCAAAACAGCGAAAAAAAAATAAATGCCGGGGACGAAAACAACGACGCGATTACCTGGCTAACGAGATCATGGAGCTGGTCCCACATAGCATCAAGTGGAGTGGATGGAAACCATCCAGTAAGGATTGAGACAAAGCGAGAGTGCGATCAATTGCCCAGTCCAAAAGTTCACAATTCACCTCGCTGAGCACTTCGATTGATGACGCCTCTCTGCAAGAATATTCTTAGTTCTAAAAATAGTTGGATACATTTTTCCAGCCAAACTAGTCAACTCACTGTGGCACAGTATTCTCAAGGATCTGGGTCAAGGTGCTACCACTAATGAGCACATCAGCATACTTTAATTCCAGTGTTGGTACCCCTTCGTGCGATCCAACTGAAATTCCTACCATAAGCAAGAGAAACTCACTCGAAAGGAAGAGATCAGTTGGTCGAGGTCACATGTCGGGTATGTTGAGTTCAAATAAACAAGAGGAAGGGTGATGTGAGCTAAACCTGTGTCCTAACAAATACACTGTGCAAATCCAGTTTAACATTATTACCAGCGTCGCGCTAAAAACATGAAACAAAGCTCAAGCAAAAAAGACAGAGAGTAATGGAGAGGGGCACTTCCATCGGTGTTCGGTCTGAGATTCCTTCACGTGTGCTGCTGCAAGAAGGCAGTCAAACACTGTCAGTTGGTTTCACCTTACTCAGCCAACCCTTTACATTATCATCATGATACGTAAGACGAAAAACTTAAGAGGAAGGAAACGGCGTGGGGAGCCTCTAGAATATCGAGGGGGAGTGAACAACACTAAGAACATACAGCCTACATATTCGACGGTGCATCCCTCCCTGCCTTGACTTATGCATCGGAGACTTGAACGCTTTGCAAGCATTCTGAGATGCACCTATGTAGCATCGTTTATGCAAGCGGTCCGAGATGCACCTATGTAGCATCGTTTAGTGTGTAATGGAAAGTAAAATGCTCGGAGCTAATGATTCAAACAAGAGAAGAGGGGAATCCAGATTCCTAAGTTCCGTAAGCAAAGATCGGATACAGTCGCATAGATCAGTAAACTGAGGATCAGTGGCCAGACACTATGTGATTTGGCGATGACCGTTAGACTCGGGCGGTGGGTGACTGGACGTGTAAATAAAAATCAGCAAACCGCTATAACAATGGCCAGATTTACTCACGAAAGGTCTGAATAAAAGAATTCTATGCCTCGTGAATCTTGAGCGAGGAGTGTCTACAGGATTTGCTCACGACAGGGATGATTAGAGGCGCCGCTCGAGAAAACCGAGACAACAGATGGCAGGTGATATAGATAGGTAATGCGAATTAGCTTAATTTCTGACTTTCAAATTCAGTAAAAGAATTTTGGACTGAAAACAGTGAAAAATTAAGACTGCACCTTTGCTCTCTTTTCTCCGCACATTTTTTTCTTGAAGTACTTCGTCCAACTCCTTTCTTCGACCAAGGAGAGCGATGATTTGATCCACAGCTGTTAAACTTGAAAAAATCTTATTATTCCAATCAACTAGAATTCCAACATTTATGGTCTTCCGAATGCAGAAAAATTCCTCAATAAGAAAGCTGCTACAGTAAGTTAATGATTACAACATTTTTAATTTCTGGAAAAACATCAAGGAACAAGCTGGTGTAGTTAGTACCAAATGCTTTTTCACATACAGTACTCGCCGTAAGAACTCAAAAATTTGCGATAATACCGCGAGTTCGCGTCTTTTTCGTCTTTTCTTTATAAATCGCTTTAAAATTAATTAGGAGGAGAAAAAATACCGTTGAACTCAGCTCATCGAGCTCTACAAGATAATACCCTAAAATGTTGAAAATGCTTTATTTTGGAAAGCGCCATGCACTTGAGCTCCATCCGAAAAGTGACTGCATGCACATGGAGTGCTTGCTGCTTGCTTAAGTGCTTGTAGGCACTCATTGACCCCTGAAGATGATCTGTTCAAAATTGCTTTGGATTGCGTCACGCACTCGGTTTTACTCAGTACAATGTGGAAATGATTGTTGGTTTTGTTCAGTCTCCATCGTTCCTTTTTT